TTCTACTACCCCCATTCACCAGATGTATCAACCAAGAATTATTGTTACTCGGTACAGTACTTAAAAAGTCGACAGAATAGGATTTGGAACCACAAGGCTACGAAGAGAGAGAGAGAGAGAGAGAGAGAGAAAGAAAAAGAAAGAAAGAACCACAAACAAGGCTACAGCCCATATCTCATAATTGATTGTCTTAAAAATTATATCACCTAATACGGAGAAAATTTTCAAGAATTAAAGACTCAAGTGAAAAAGAGACGAAGAGGAATCCGAGTCCTGCCTCTAAGACATCAATGGAAGTATAAAAATAATGATGTGACACATACGATCGATCGAACTCGATCGGAATATTGAGAGCCTCCATAATATGTTGTAGGTCGATTGAGGAGATTCAGGAATTTAAGTCGAAAGATCTCGATGCGATCTGTGAGACCCCATGGACTTGCCTTTAAAAAGGCAGTTCCCTCGACACAAGAAAGACATCTAACGAAGAAGATCATATTGGTGAGCTATCTAAATCCGCTATAAAGGAGGAAGAAATAGACTCAAAAAAGGAAGACATCTAAATCTTGGGTGTTCTTTAAAGGTCAAAGAGGCTGAAATATCGAATGCTCTAAGCATTTGAAGACTCTGATTTGCCTTGAAGGATAGCTATTTATATGGCTCGAGTGATCCTTACACTAAGCATCTGAAGACTATGTGGCAACATGCCATTGCACATAGTCAAAACAGTGCAATCACGGCGATCTTCCTAATCCTCAATGATTAAAAAAAATCTCCACGTGATTGCATTACGATTTGTCATTTGGACATAGTGTCAAACCATTAATGCTAAGATCTTAGAGATTAGATTCTATCAAATGAAATGATGTGCTCATTGCGGATTGGGATAAAAATGGAGCACACATACGTACACGTCTAAAGACTATTGAAAAAACCAAATGCGCATATCAACGATGTAGTTAAAATGATCGAATATACATATCGATGATGCATAGATGAAACCATCGAATATACATATCGATGATGCATAACTGAAATAATCAAATGCGCATAACAACAATGTATAGCTAAAATGATCAAATATGTATATCAACGATCCTTAGCCAAAATAATCGAATAGTAACATCAACGATGTTGAGCTAACTACCTAAGAAAGTTATTTATGGTGCTACCAAGGTGACCTGGATCATTTCTCAACTCGCCCCCATCTCACTTGGGTGAATGTAGAAGCCGAGGAGCAAGTGATACATCAACGATGACCTCGATGACACCTTGGCACTGAATAGGTAACATGTGATCGACACGTTGACCGCCCAAAGTCACATAGACTATACATGGCAAATGCCTTTGCACCATGTGTGCGACAGGCATTTGACGCACGATTGACTGCACAATGACACATGGATAGCACACCGACTATCTGAGGCTATGTGAACTGCAAGTGACCAATACCTTAACATAACATTCTGAATGAATCAAACCAATCAATTTGCATTCCAAATTCAGCGCCCCATCATATCAAGATCTCGATTAAGTCATCATATCAAGACCTCGATTAAGTTCGATAACAACTCATAATCGTGCCACAATACTAGTCGATAATCTTGAGAGTAATAATCCTTTAAACCCACTATAAAAAGAGCTTCCGAGTTGAATTCTCCATATAAAAAAAATTTCTTACGAGCTCACTCCTAACAATCCGAATCCAACACTAATTTGATAGTCAGAAGGTCATCGGTGGATAATGCTCCCGACTTAATTTTACACAGATTCTAACATATTTAGAGTTAGACATGCTTTATTTAGACAGAACTTGACATATGAGTAGTGCGGGGAAGAAGAATATGGATTGGCTCCGACTTCGTTTCAAGCTTGTCTCTTGTATCACGAAAAGAGAATCTTCTTCTACGATGAGACCAAAACTTGAGCTGGTTGGATCTACCCAGCGTTGGTCGAGTGGAGTTTGTACAACGCGTGAAGCATTAATAATGAAGCGACATTCTTGCCAAACGGGCCCCAATCAATACTCTATTCCTTCTTATTTTAATTGGTGTGGGCTCGAATTGTAGGGATGACAGCGTGATCGAATCATTTTTACCCAAACTCTCCACCTTTTTCCTAATGTAAATATATATATGTCATGTCATACGAATCAATACTTCTAACTATTTAAAATCAATTACATGTACAAAGTCGAACTCATAATTAATACTATTTAAATATTTATTTAGAATTTATAATCTATAATAAATGCACTTGTAGGATGATTGGATCATAGACAACCTATGTGTATAAAGTACCTATGTTAATTATATTTTTAATGTATAAATTTCATGGTCTCCAGACGGTAGAGATATCATCTTCCTTAGGTGAGGTCAAATCTATTAATGGTCAAGATTGACACTAAGATCCCATACTTAGATCCGGGTTGACCGTTACAAGTTTGACCAACTTTGATCATGGTAAAAGAAGCATCTTCGAACAACAACAAATCTTTTGGTACCAGCTTTATCTATGATCCAATCATCAAATAAATCTAAGCATAAGAAAAATATATTGCTGTCGTAGCTACTACCCCAGTCACTGGATGTTATCGGTCAAGAATCACTATAACTAGACAGAATTGGATTTGGAACCATGATAGGAAACATCCAATATCCCTACCTCACAAGATACATGGTCATGAAATCTAGCGTATCTGTTTCTCCACAGCCTGCATGTGCATGGCCTGTGTTGATATGCAAGAGAGAGAGAGAGAGAGAGAGCCACAAACAACACTGCCCATCTCTCATAGATCTGATCTTGACAAAAATTACAAGATTTCTGATGCTTGTCTCAGAAGTTTTATCTTGTCCTTCTTCATCGATCAATCTTTCATTCACAGAGAAAGAGTCACAACAGGAGGCAGCAAAGCCACGGTGACGAGGCCCCCATGTTGCCTCTCCAGTGCCCAAAGGAACGAGAAGGACACATGAAGACTTGACCACAGGAAACAGCAGCAAAAGTAAATGGTGGTCACAATGAGCACTGCATCCCGTTCCAGATAGCAATGGGATCGAGTGCATGGGCGCTGGCAATAATGGAGAAGAAGAAGAATGTGGTGGTCTGCCAAGTAAGGTGTGCAGAAGGGACAGGCTCTGGTCACGGATCGAACTGTGAACTGACTACCGGACAAGAGGGGGCGGAAAGCGAAGTCCTTCAACCTATAAAAGATTCTGCGAGTGCAGAGGACATGTCACGCGGGGAAGCAAGGCTTGTCCAGCGAAAGGTTTCATGCAGGTCACATATTGCAACATGCATGCCGTGCCAAACTGGTCTCTGAAACTGTGTGTGTGGGTGCTCCTCATCTTCCAAGGGGGTATTCGCTTCCCTGATTCTGCAGGCAGTGCATACTTAGCAAGATCTTCGCTGAGGTACCTTATGGACTTCTGAGTCATCCTTGGATCTTAATTTGGATGGCCTCTCGATATCTGGAGAATGGTGACGGCATAAAGAAGCAGAAGAGAAGAGAGAGAGAGAGTATATTAATGGAAGGATGAAGATTGGTAGGAGAAGACTCTAAGATCCTGAATCCATCAAACACACTTCAAAATGAGTCGACTCTCATGTCATCACCCTTTTCCTGAACTCCTCTACAATAAATATATCATTTACTTGCTCCTCCAATTTCAATTAACATAAACATGCTGTGTTTTCAGAGAGAGAGAGAGAGAGAGAGAGAATAGACTGATGGAGAAGAGAGGATTACCAGTATAAGTTTATTATTTAGTTGCCCCTCCAATTTCACTTCAGTACACATGTTGCGTGTGTATGAGAGAGAGAGAGAGAGAGAGGTGGGTCTTTGCATGGAGCTCAAGCTGTCCTCTCTGGTTGGAATTTACAGTACGTGCGTGAGAAACTAATCCAACTCAAAAGAGTTCGTACTTACACAGTACACAACAGTAGGAGAATTCCATCTGCCGTAAGGAAGTCTTCGATTACACCACTTGTTGTAGGTAGTGGGTCTCAGCAACCCACCAACATTGTTTTGCCGTGAGGTAGTGGCAACAATGCCAACCAAACAGTCAACTACCAAAAAGTGATATATGATGCCAAAAAGATCCAACAAAAGGTTGGAAAGACTTTTTATTTCTAGACTTGGCTACAGAATCCAATGGCCTAATTACAGTTGAGAGAGCACCAAAAAGAAGAGAACGATAAGGACTAACAAACCTCGGAGAAGGAGATCAAAGGCTGCAATGGATCAAAGGCAATCTTTGAAACAAGGGAGGAATCTCAGAATACCGCTGCCCATCTCAGCTTTCTTGAGCTTTGTGTCATGTATTTGCACACTTGGTGTTGTCCTGAACACACATGACACACCAGGAATCGCATCTGGAGCACTAGAAGATGAGCACATAGGTTTGCACACGAAGGGGGTCTCACGAGGGATTTGAATGAATACCTGGCAACAAGAACACATGGCAATCATAGCCGTCTGAATCTGAGATGGTGTCACTCAAGTGGATGATTGAAAATGACAAGCAAGCATCAATGCCAGATGATGACAGGACCTTTACGGCCTCCTTTTCATGCAAATCTGTTGATGTTTGCGTGTGTGTGTGTGTTTAACCATGCATATTTCTATGTACTCTCCAACACCAAATGGAAACTATTGGATGCAGATGCTGACCAATCTCTGAGACAAGATGCCATCTGCCAGCTTCATGCATCAACATGCCAACCTTCGCTCAACATTTCAAGCTTATGAACTCTTCATCTACCTTTGCTTCAAGATGAGAGGATCACACCATGTAGACTGTGCAGAGCCTGTTTAGATAAGCAACAAAACAATCAACCTCGAACGCTAATTTCCCTCCCTGTATCTTCAAACTCCACCTTCGTTCCTGCAACACATGCAGCCCATCATGGACAAAAGTTCTACTTTTACAACGTTGGAGAGAGAGAGAGAGAGAGAGAGAGAGCAGAGTGCAGCTGCAGAGCATGACAACGCCACTCCGGTTTGTGTCCCCGAAGCCAACGCCTCTCTTTGTCTCCATCCTCCCTGCACACTCTCTCTGCTTGGTTCGCACCTTTTTTACTTCTCTCTCCAAGAAATGCCTGCAAAGGTCCTATCTTTTTCACCTGCCTACCCAATCCAAGCCCACCCATGGCGGCTTCCCTCCGTGAGCTCCTCTCCCAAGAGAGCACACATCTCCATCCGAAGCCCCGTAAGTCCCCGAGGCCCGGCCCCCCTCCCCTTTGCGCCGACCGCCGGAGCTTCGACCGCCCCCGCCGCCGCAGCGGCTGCTCCAGCCGCCCCTCCGACCCCTCCAGCTCTAACTCCAACGCCTCCAGGGTGAACTCCCTCGGGTCTGCTCCCCCCAGGTCCTTGGTCTCTGCCGCCGCCGCCGACGACTACGTCGACGACGACCCCTCGGCCGACGAGGCAGCGGCCCGCGCCGTCGTCTCCGTCCTCTCTGGCTACACCGGTCGGTTCTTGAAAGATGAGGCTTTCCGCCGGCGGCTGCGCGACAAGTGCACGGCGTGTATCGCCACGGCCCGGAAGGGGGTCGCCCACGCGGTGCTGGCGAACCTGGAGCTCGGGATCGAGAGCATCGAGTGGCTGGCGGAGGAGGGCCCCCATGGCGCGCCCAGAGACTCCAAGATCCGATCTTTGCGGAACTCCATCCGGCTGCTGAGCGTGGTGGCCTCGCTCAACTCCCCCCGGTCGCGGGCCGGCGGGTACACCTGCGGCGTGCCGAACGCCCACCTGTCCGCGTGCGCGCAGCTCTACCTCGCCGTCGTGTACAAGATAGAGAGGAACGACCGGGTCTCCGCCAAGCACCTCCTCCAGGTGTTCGTGGACGCGCCCTACCTTGCCCGGAAGAACCTTCTACCGGACCTCTGGGACCATTTCCTGCTCCCCCACCTGCTCCACCTCAAGGTGTGGTATAACAAGGAGGTGGAGCTCGTCGCGAGCTGGGATGCGGAGGACAGGGACCAGAGGATGAAGGGCTTGAACAGAGCTTACAATGACCAAATGGACGCCGGCACTGCTCAGTTCGCGGTCTACTACAGGGACTGGATCAAATCTGGCGGGAAGGCGCCGCCCGTCCCTACCGTCTCGTTGCCGCCGAGACCCAGTTACCTCGAGCCATGGGGGAAAAGATCCCTGTCATTGTCGCGGAGTTCGATCAATAGAGACCTGTACGTGACAATGTCTCTTTTGTTGCTTGATCTTATGCTTGCTCGATACGTTCTTTTGCTGTCTTATGTGACTATAAATTTAACGAAGGTATCAAGCGGTGTTCGGTCTGTCATTGGAACCGGAAGATATCGGCGACAACGGTGTGCTGATTGATGACATGCAATCAGCTTTGGAGAGGGAATTTGATGATAATTCAGCTAGCTGCAAGCGTGGGAGCCTTCTCCATGTGAGTCAATGCAGCTTCTTCGTTTCGGTGAATAGCTGGAAGTTTGATTAACCTTTCTGCATTATTGGTGTCTTTTACAATGGAATCTCCTGACATATATGTAATACAATAATCTAATCGTTAATAAACAGACAAACATGTCCTGGATTGCTTCTTGCACAAGTGATCTAGATGCTGTAGAAAGATCTGTTTGGGTCCTTGGGAATCTTGTCCAGGACACCCTAGAAAAAAACTTGGTGGTGTTATTTCATATTCAGGAATTGTTCTTTGCATGCGCCTCTGAAATCCTCTTCAGCTGGGAAGCATGAAGAGAGAACACTGCTCCAAGAATCTTGTCGATATGGTCCTGCTTACATGCCTAGACATCAAGTAAGGAGTCACAGTGCTTGGTTTTGTTACTATTCTACTGCTATTTCTGTTAATCAACCATGCCTCTGATTTGTGCGGCACAGTGAGATGTACCAGGAAAAAGTTTTCAGATTGTAGAGTGTCAATGTTCTTTGACATGCCTGATTTTGTTAAACTTAGAATTTACAAAATACTTCTTAGCCCCAGACCTTTGTGCTATGTGCTATTACTATTACTATTGAGGAATATATGACAATCACTATGATTTTTCAAATCATGCATAGAATAATCAGGATGATTTTAACCCTTTTCCATCTTCTGATCTTTTTTCCTCCAAAATGCCCACTTAGATGCTACATGTAAAAAGGATCCTTATGTAATTTTTTTTTTCCTTTAAATCTTGACTTAGATGTCAACCAGAAAATGAAAAGAAAGTAAACCACTATCCTGCTTCACATACTCAAGCACATTTGTGCACCATCTTTGTGGCCCAATTTCATATATACCTCCTGCTCACATGTAATTTCACATGTGCTGTCATAAAGTTTGAAATATAACAGATATAATTCTAAAGTTTACAACCTTCCATGAGTACCCTCGAAGATATCAGGGATACCATAATAAACCTCATTAATGCCATCACAAATATTCACACAAAGGTAGTCATATATTTAAAAAATTAGGCATATATGAGAAATTTGAAACTTTAAAAGACAACTATGATACTTGCAACTTTAGATGGCCTTGAGAAAGTTTTCTTTTTCCAACTTTTACGTCTATGCGGTCCGTTCAGCATGCTTGCTCTATGATTTAACAGCTTGTTATGTTGTGGCTGTGGTGTCTTTTCTCTACTATCAAGACTGTATTTTATCAAGTCCAGGAAGATAAACAATTTAATATTCTTGCAGATTTCCATATGGTTATAGAGAAATTCTGCCTTTAATTATTTGGAAAAAGTAACTCTTTTGTGATCCGGTAACTGTTCAGTTTCTCAAGTGTTGCTTGTTTTTTGAATAGACAGAGCAACACTGGGGTTAAACAAAGAGAACCAGACACAGTGCGAGAGCATCCAATCTCTGGAGCAGCTTCTGTACCCCGCAAATCACATTCTTTTCGATTATTCTCTTGTCGAAGCATACCGGATGCAGCTTCAGTTCATCATGCACAAACTCCTAAAAAAGATTTTGCTGTAATTGGCAGCCAACCATGCAGCAACGTGCAATCATCAAGTCTTAGCCGAGCGATTGATCTTATTTCTCAATCCGATAATCTTAAAGAATGTGAAGCTGCAGTTCACATAATTGCAAAAGCTTGGCATTGTACACAAGGAGGTACTGCTCTTGTGACAGCGTTGTCAACATCATCTGTGATTGAGGGTCTTCTGGAGGTAAATTTTACTTCTAAAGATGACGAAGTACTAGAGTTATCGATCTTGATCTTAGCAGAGTTGGTTGCAAGGAATGATGTGAACAGACAGGTGGTACTGCATGCAGATCCACAGCTTGAGATTTTCTTGAGACTGTTGAGGAATCACAATCTTTTCTTAAAGGCAGCAGTAGTGCTTTACCTGCTAAAACCAAAGGCCAAGCAGATGCTGTCCTTGGATTGGATACCATTAGTTTTGCGGGTTCTGGACTTTGGAGATGAAATGCAGACTTTGTTTACTGTACAATGCCATCCCAAATCAGCTGCATTCTACCTTCTAGAACAGCTTCTTATGGGTTTTGATGTGGACAGAAATGTTGAGAACTCGAAACAGTTGGTTGCCCTTGGTGGATTGGACCTCCTGATCAGAAGACTTGAAGCAGGTGATGCTCAGGAGAGTAGAAACTGTGCTTCACTCTTAGCAAGATGTATACGAGCAGATGGAAGCTGCAGACAGTACTTGGCAATGAACATAAAGAAGACTCCCATAGTTCAACTCCTAGGGAACCAACAAAAGTCCCATGGAAGTGCGATTTCTTTGCTGAGTGAACTGCTCTGTCTCAACAGGTCTGGTTTAAATCTCTAAGCTGCATTTTGCCTGTAGCCAATATTTTTTCTGATTTTCTGTGGATATTTTCTATAGCAATAATATTGTTCAATAATGTTACCAATGGGAAGTATCTATTCAGCACCTGTTTGGAGGACAGATATTTCAGATAAATAAATGCTAAAATTTTATCAACTAATTGTATACCATATGAGAATCTGGCTTTTAGGGAATTGTTGGATTATGTAAATTATCATATCGAGTAATGGCAAGATCTTAGGGTACCGAAATCACTTAAATTCTGTAATGTTTGTAGTGAACGTTGTTAATGACCAACTAAATTGAATGGTATAATCCACTAATAATTGTCCCAACTGGAAACTTCCTTTGGTTTATATTTGATCCATTCTTCTTATTAAACAGAACAACACAGATTATGACATTACTGAAGGAGCTAAAAGATGACGGTTTCCTGAACATAATGCATGTCCTATTGGTTTATCTACACCAAGCACCGCTTGAACAACGCCCAGTAGCAGCAGCACTTCTTTTGCAGCTTGATCTTCTGGTACATCTTCCAGACCAATTGTTTTTGATGTGTTAGTTTCTTAATAGTTCCATTTTAGATCTATGTGCAGTCTCCATATGCCAATTATGTTTCAGGGAGATCCTTTGCAGTACAGTATCCACAGAGAAGAGGCAATTGATGCTTTAATAGCAGCCCTGGAACGCAATTTGCACAATAAGAAGATCCAGGAGAAGTGCAGCAGAGCTCTTTTGCTCTTGGGGGGCAGGTTTTCTTGTTCGGGAGAGGCCACATCAGAGGCATGGTTACTTAAGCGAGCAGGTCTACATGATAGCCTTTCAGATTCATTCAGAAGCAAAGAGATTTTTGTAGATGACAATATGAGACCGGTAGGTTTTTATTCTAACAGAGAATAACATTGCATTAGCCATGACATCCAACAAGCAGATTTGGTTTAACAGCTTACAAGCTGGCTGTTCTTTTAATAGTCTTCTGCAATGATATAGAAGCTATAACATTCCTACTCTGAATTTTGAAGTATGCCATAGCCTTATATTTATCTTTAAGATTCAAATATCAAAATGAGGAACATTTATGGATTGATATGTGGAATTACCCTATGTCTTGACATCATTTGGTTAATCTTTCTCATGTAAAAACATTTTGCAATGACCCATGCACTGAGCCACCTTAACCAATATATTAAATCTAGTTTGTAGTGTTGTCTGACTAGTTAGACCTCTTTACATAAAAGGTAGACACCTTTTAAAGTTAATTTGCACTATGGTAACATGAAAGAGAGAAAACCAATAAGTTGGAGGTAGGGAAATATTTAGTCACCATAAGATGTTTTTAAGCGTGAACCTCATGAAGGGAAAAAAAATCTAAATTTTATGCATCTTTGCAGGATGCTGGTGTTTGTTTCATAGCACATCACAAATATGGGGCATCTCCATCCTGAGCATTGATCTGGCTTGTTGTTCCCTCAGTCTATATGGATAGGCCATTCTGTTATTGTGTTCATAGTAGAGTACTACATCTCTCTGTTCACTGTTGTAGATTGTGACACTCTTAACTCTTTGTGCACTATATGGAATTTATTGAAGTGAAGAAGAATCTTGTCTCTATGCTAAAAATTTATGACATTCTACTAGTTTCTCTACAGGCCCATCGAAAAATTTTGAGTTAATCGCAAGGCTTATGCCTGCTATAGTCTGAAGAAAAAACAAACACAAAATTCTTCAATATAAAAGTTACTTCCTCTAGTAGGTACAATACAAAAATACTGTTATGTAATTGTCATACATCACTGAGCTTGACCATTCTTACTCCCAATTAGTTTGTAAATATTGATGTTGATCGACATTTAGATGTCACTTGAAAATTTGTATTGCTATGCCAAGTGATGTAATTGCGGAAGCTTTGTTAAGTTTGTTTCTCCCATACATTTCTCTTACAATCTAGAGTAATAATGAAATTAATTTGCATTGTTCTTTGCTATATCTAAACCTCTTATTTGGGCTGTTTGTCTTCTTCTTTATTCTCTTCTATGATTGCTGTTATGTGTGCCTCACCCACTTGTAAGTGATGTGTTTGCAATATTGCCTGTTATGTGTGAAATTCCACCCGCAAAATCCATCCCTTCTGATGTTTCTAAGAGTCTTCTGTGGTATCAGTTGTTTGGACATTCCTCTAAATCTACTCAGATTAAGTATTAGGCTTTGTTTTTGTCTCTTGTGAAGTAATCAACCTATCTTCATCATTATTATATATTTCATTGCCTAGAGTAATCATTTTATATCACGAGATGGCATTTGTTTTATATCGATGGAAAATTTTGTGTGGTAGATCAATATATGTGATTCCTTGCTGAGACGATTTATTGTAATTACCAGGAAGAAGAAAAAGTTACTGAAGAATGGCTTAGGAAGTTGGCCATTGTCTTGTTAAGTAGTGGTAATAAAAGGTTCCTGGTTGCTCTATCAAATTGCATGGCTGATGGGATCCCTGGTCTGGCACGCTCATGCCTTGTTACAGTCGCATGGATGAGCAGTTCCCTTGTTTCATGGCATAATGTGAACCATCTGCAGTCTCTAGTTTGCTCAACTCTAGCACCTCGCTTGTTCGAGAGCCTGAGCTATCATAGAGCACAAGAAGAGAGGGTTTTGGCTTCACTCTCACTATTCAACTTTGTTAGATATCCAGGTAATGTAACTGCTTCCTTTTCTCCTCGTAATTTCTTTTTTGTCATTTTCTTAGCATGCTAAATGGAAGGTCCTTTTTGACTTGTACATAATTAGATGTCAATGTATGTGCTACTCTGCTTTAGTTTTTATTCATTTTACTGTGCACTCTCAAGCTTAATATATATCAGCAAATGAAAAATCTAAAAGCATTAAACACATATTATTAGACTTGAGGAAAGATTCACGCATTGTATGATTAACATGTTATTTTGATGTGTGGCTTGTTGAGTTCATTATTTAAATGTTTGACATTAGAAAATATCTGGAATTGAACCATCCAAGACACTACACTTGCATTGAAATTGTTTGATGCTACCTGTATAACTCAATCTTTTGCAAATTCAGAAATCTAATGGAAAACTGAATAGGATATCACATTAAACTACAATATTAGATCATGTGATGTGATTATATCACAGGGCATTCCACATAAGCATTTTTTTATGAATATGCATAAATATTCCAAAACCGAGTGAATTCGTGCCTTAAAAACATGGTCGGAGAGCATCTAATTCTTTGTTAGAATTTTGTTACTCCTATCTGTCTAGTTCCTTCATTCCAATGAGTCGGTTGGGTTGATGTGGGTCGAGGACCCATCTAGTCTCTTATGAGGAATCATCCATTGTCCACTTTGTCTCATGAACCACATGAATTTGCCCTCGACTGTTGCTTATGAGCAACAAGCTTCCTTGATTCGTATCAGATGTACAATCTCTGGAACCTCCTATGTATACCACAACATGTACCTCATGATTGAGGATCTCAATAACCTATCATCTCTTGTTGCTTTCATGGTGGGTTTATACACTTTTTTTGTTTGTTTGGTCCTTGACAGCACCAACTAATGCGAAGCATCAACATCTTTAAGGAAGTGTGAGCAAAATAGTACGATTTACAATTATTAGCAACATAAGAGTGATTACGGACGCTAACAATCTTTGAATATTTTGGTTTTGAGACGATCAACTGTACCTGTGCTGCATAAATTTTTTTCCAGCCTTCAAACACAGATGATAGATATACCTTCATTACCTACAAATAACCTCATTTCATGTGGTTATCTGTTTCTTATTTGTTTGTTTGCCCTCGACAGAGTGCCTTCCTAAGCTTTTCCCGATGGACAAAGAAACAATTTGCTCACTCCAAGATCTTGCTCAAGTGACTTGGACTGCGAAAGAACTTCTCTTCGCTTGCTGCAGGTGAGCAATCTGTGCAGTCATAGACGAGAAATATAGCTTGTCGCAGAGATGGCATTCACAAGCGCGATCTCATCGGACGCAGGTGTCCTGTGTAAGTTTCTAGCTTCATTTGTACTTCCTGTCCCCCTAGCAAAGGCAACAAGTACACTTCTTTCCACTTGTAATAAGGCTGTTTCCTCCACAAAATTCAAGCTTAATGTCACTTGCTGCTGAAGTCTGGGCAGGATGGTTTAAGCTCCTGATGCAAAGCTTGATGTAAAAGAGTGTGCTTTGTAGTGTCCTATTCTTAGTGGTACATTTCAAACATTACATGCAATAATTCTTTATTTCCCAGAGATGCATTACATGGTTTTGCAGAAGAAATTTCCATTGTTCAGCACACATGACTGAATCTTGTTGTTCTTGATCTTAAAGACTATCGAAAGTGGCTAATGTGCAGGATTCACAGGTTAGAAATCTTATTGCCTGTTTAAGAACCCCTCAGCTTGCCACAGCTTACCACTGTCTCATAGATGACTTCTGAACTCTTTCCAAGTCCACTATATTTATAATTAAGGCTTTTTGAAGCTATATTTTCAAATTTCCAATCGCATTTGAGGGATCAAACACACAAAACTCATCCACTTTCATGAAAATTCCACTTAAGTTGATTCGCTTTTATCGAATCATACACAAAGTTATTGTGATAAAAACATGCAATAATTGTTCATGTAAAAGTATTTGAAGAAGTTAAGTTAGTGACTATTTAAAAATTAGAAAATGTTAATTTTTTTTACGTCCTTTCTTCTTCGAATTAACTCAATGAATTATAACTAAATTAGTAAGAAATAATTTAAATGCATTAAATGGTGGTCTATTTTATGATATATGAAGTAAAACACTAAAACTCGTTGAGCCGTCTTAGCTCAGCCGGTAGAGCGCGTGGCTTTTAACCACGTGGTCGTGGGTTCGATTCCCACAGACGGCGTTTATAATATTATTTTATTTTTACGTTGAATACACGTGGCTAGCTCGTGCAAAGAATCGCGTACACGATCAGGAAGTCGCGTGGCCATCGGACGGCGGAGAGGGTACGGCTTGACAATTGAAGGTTAAGCAAAGAATCGCTAAGCCGTCTTAGCTCAGCTGG